CCCTGACTTCCTCGCCTCCGCCTGCGTAGGAGGCAAGGATCGGAAAGCGTTCGAGGCCGAGTACCGACTCGGCCCCCTCCTGGGTAAAGGAGGCTTTGGCACCGTCTTCGCGGGACACCGCGTTACAGATCGACACCAGGTATTCGTAACGAGGGTCTTGGGAGGGTCAGGTGTGGAGCGGGGGCCCTGGGACTGGGATGCTGGTTTACCGGGCAGCGAGCTTGCAATGTGTTTAAGTCGGGTCATGAGGACCAGGGATCCGTGTTGCTGGGTGTGTGTGGGGCAGGGGGGTATCCAGATGGGCATACGGGGGTGTAAGGTGTTTCGAGCCGGGGATTCTGGAGATCCGGGGAGTTAAACTGAGTGCGGGGATCATAAGGACTCTAGACCTTAGCATCCAGGGAATGTGTATATGTGAGAAGGTGGGGATCTAGACCTGAGGTTTAAAGGATATTTGGAGGTAGATGTTCATTGTGGAGTCGTGAGGACCCAGGACCCCGGTACAAAGTTGCGGGTGTCCTAGGTCTAAATGGAAGACTAAAGACTCGGGATGTCAGGAAACCTAGAACTCGACTTGAAATGAGGGGTTCTGATGCCTGAGAAGAGAAAGCTTAGGGCTAAGGATGGTGGGACAGGTGAACTTGGCTTCTGGAGTGGAGCCTTGGTGGGCAGGGAAGGAGCCCTGGCTCATTATGGGTTTTGGGGTAGTGTGATTTGGTGTGATTAGGGTGCTTGGCTGATGGAGGGGCACAGGAGGTGGACAGAAAGGTAGACTGGGAGGGTTCTGCGTGTTGTCTACTAGCTCGGCTCCCTTACTCAGCCCTCTTCTCCAGGTGGCCATCAAAGTGATTCCCAGGAATCGTGTGCTAGGCTGGTCCACTTTGGTGAGTATCTTTGGAGTCCTTCTTGACCTGTCTACTCCATGACTGAAGAATTTACTCCCTTAGCTTTTCCAGGAGATCCTCCTAGAGCCCTGGATTCTCCCCTCCAACTCTCCCTTCTCATCCTCCTTCCAAACACTACTCGGACACCCAGGGCATGCTGGTGGGAAAAGAGGGGCAGAGGTCACTGGTTGCCGGGGAGATGGTGGCTGCTTCTCTCTTGCCATTAGAGTTCTAACGGACATCAGGGCGGGTCTGGGCAAGTTGTATAGAGAGCTCCCTCTGGCGGCGTCTTGGGAAACTGCGCCTGCGCAGGCCGTGGGACCCAGAGGGAGAGGGTGCGCCTGCGCTGTATTAGAATTTTTACATCTCTGAGAAAACGTGTCTGTGGCTGTGCAAGTCGGGTTTGGTCCTGAGAGGGGCCCACCTCAGGCTGGGAAGGCTGCTTCTGACAGTCACTTTGCCTGTACAGATCTTCTGGGGGGCGGCAGCATTTATGACTAACATTGTGATAACAATTTATGGAGCTTATTTTGTGCCAGATTTTTTTGCAATTGTCACTCTGTTGCCCAGGCTGAAGTGCAGTGACACAATCATGGTTCACGGCAGCCTCAACCTCCTGGGCTCAAGTGATCCTCCCACCTCAGCCTCCCAAAGTGCGCTGGGATTAGAGGTGTGAGGCACCACACCTGCCCTCAGCTATTTCACATGTATATTAAGCACCTACTACATACCAGACACAGTTGTAAGCATTTAGCAAAACATATGATGTTTTGTAAGAGCTCATTTTGTGCTGGGTTCTTTTTTTTTAAGTTTTTTTTTATTATTTTTTTTTTTTTAAGTTGGGGTCTCACTCTGTCGCCCAGGCTGGAGTGCAGTGGCACGCTCCTGGCCACTGCAGCCTTGACCCGCTGGGCTCCGGCGATCCTTCCGCCTCAGCCTTCCAAGTAGCCAGAACTACAGGTGCACGCTATCACACCCAGCTCATTTTTGATTTATTGTGGAGATGGGGTCTTAGCAAGTTGCCCAGGTGGGTCTCGAACCTGCGGGCTCAGGCAATCCACTTGCCTCAGCCTCCCAAAGTGCTGGAATTACAGGCTGAGCCACCGAGCCAGCCCGGCCTTAAAGTTTCTTAAAGTTTTTTTTTCTTTTAGGTTTTTTTATAGGGGTGAGGTCTGGTAATGTTATCCAGCATGGTTTGAGTTAGAGACTCACTCTGTCGCCCAGTCTGGAGTGCAGTGGCACACTGGCCACTGCAGCCTCGACCTGCTGGGCTCAGGCGATCTTTCTGCCTCAGCCTTCCAAATAGCTGAAATTACAGGTGTGCGCTGCCATGCCCTGCTTATTTTTTGATTTATTATAGAGACAAAATCTCACCAAGTTGCCCAGGCTGGTCTCGAACCTGTGGACTCAGGCAATCCTCTCACCTTGGCCTCCCAAAATGCTGGGATTACAGGCTTGAGCCACCACGCCTGGCCACCCAGGCTACTCTTGAACTCCTGGACTCAAGTAATCCTCCTGCCTCAACCTCCTAAAGTGCTGGGATTGAAGGCATGAGCCCAGTGCACCTGGCCAAAAAAATGTTATTGTCCATTTTTACTAATCGCTTTCTCCTGTTTAATACATTTATTGTTACCTACTCTGTTACCAGGCACCGTTCCAGAGCTTGAGATGTCAGATCCTGTACTGTAAAGTGCTTTCATCTACTTAACATTTACTGAGCACCTTCTGTGCATAAGGTGCTGTTCCAATCTCTTGGGATATGTCAGTGACCAAAACAGATAAAACGGTTATGTAATAGTGCTTCTGCTGAAGGCCTTTTGTTAAGAACCATTTTAATTTATTCAAATGTTTATTGATCAACGTGCCAGATGTGTGTGGGCTCTTGGCTGGATTCACTCTTCCAATCGCTGAGTTTGAGTCCTTGAGACAAAACTGAGGACCAGGAAGGGAAGTAGGTTGCTCAATGCAACACAGTCAAGAGGCTAATGGGGCCGGGCATGGTGGCTCATGCCTATAATCCCAGCACTTTGGGAGGCCAAGGTGAGAGGATTGCCTGAGCCCACAGGTTCGAGACCAGTCTGGGCAACTTGGCGAGACCTCATCTCTACAATAAATCAAAAAATTAGCTAGATGTGGTGGCACGTGCCTGTGGTTCCAGCTACTTGGAAGGCAGGCGGAAGGATCATCTGAGCCCAGCAGGTCAAGGCTGCAGTGGCCGTGAGTGCCACTGCACTCCAGCCTAGGCGACAGTGAGAGACTCCACTCAAAATAAATAAAAGCCAATGGGCTATGATTTGAGCTTAGGTGAAAAGTCAGCCTCAGAGCTGCTAGCCTTACATTTGTCTTCTTTCTCTCCCTACTTCCCACCCTACCTCTACCCCCAGTCAGACTCAGTCACATGCCCACTCGAAGTGGCACTGCTATGGAAGGTGGGTGCAGGTGGTGGACACCCTGGCGTGATCCGCCTGCTTGACTGGTTTGAAACACAAGAGGGCTTCATGCTGGTCCTCGAGCGGCCTTTGCCCGCCCAAGATCTTTTTGACTACATCACAGAGAAGGGCCCACTGGGTGAAGGTCGAAGCCGCTGCTTCTTTGGCCAGGTCGTGGCAGCCGTCCAGCACTGCCATGCCCGTGGAGTTGTCCATCGTGACATTAAGGATGAGAACATCCTGATAGACCTCTGCCGGGGCTGTGTCAAACTCATTGATTTTGGTTCGGGTGCCCTGCTTCATGATGAACCCTACACTGACTTTGATGGTAAGGCTTCCCTAAGTCTCACTGGGCAGACTATTTTTACCTTTTGTCTTTATGACCTTGACCATTGACATCTAGTAGTGGGGTGTCCTGTAACCTTTGGCCCATATTGCATCTTTATATGGGTCTTGATTTCTAATACTGGGGATTCTTGGCCTTGCCCTCTGATAAAGTCCATCTTCTGACAGTGCCCTATCTGTGTTCTGGGCTCTTATTCTGGTGAGGGAACTCTGTTATTGTCCTGAGTGTTCTTTTTCTGGTAAGGGGATCTTAACTGTCGTAAGTGCTTTTATTGAGGGGGACTCTGCTATTATTAGGTGTTTTTTCTAGTGAGGGGATCCTGCTTTTATATTGAGTAGTCTTATAGGGAGGGAACCATACTTCCTGGGGGGTATGAGGTGGGGAAAAGGCATCATCAGAAAGTAGTCTAACCCCTGGCTTGCATGCAGGGACAAGGGTGTACAGTCCCCCGGAGTGGATCTCTCGACACCAGTATCATGCACTCCCAGCCACTGTCTGGTCACTGGGTATTCTCCTCTATGACATGGTGTGTGGGGACATTCCCTTCGAGAGGGACCAGGAGATTCTGGAAGCTGAGCTCCACTTCCCTGCCCATGTCTCCCCAGGTGAGGCCTTCACTGATCCTACCCCAAAAAAACTCCATCCCTCCCAGGGATTGGTACCCCCTACTGACTGCTAATCTTCCCTGTGCTTCTTGGCCCACAGACTGCTGTGCCCTAATCCGTCGGTGCCTGGCCCCCAAACCCTCTTCCCGACCCTCACTGGAAGAGATCCTGCTGGACCCCTGGATGCAAACACCAACTGAGGATGTACCCCTCAACCCCCCCAAAGGAGGCCCCCACCCCTTTGGCCTGGTCCCTGCTGCCCTAGACACGGCCCCCACTGGTTGGAATAGCCGTCCCATAACCACATCACAGGGATAGATGGAAATCTGTTGATCTGGTTTTACAGGTCATTATAGGTCATTAAAAATCCAGTATTACTAAGATGAGGGATCAGGGGTCAGAAGACAAAAGCCAAGTCTTCTCTGCCCCAATCCCAGTTCTGTGAAGGAGCCTTCCTCCAAGAACCTGTGGTCCCTTATTCTGGAGGGGAAAATTCCTTCTCGTTTTGCTAAGGATTATTATTTGGGTGAAGTTATTTCTATTCTCAGCCCCCAAACCCTTATTCTGATGAATAGACACCCCTACACTTGCACCTCCTACTACCACCACACAAACTTAGTTCACACGCTCTCACTTGGGCAAGGGTGCTTTCCTTCCAATACCCCGTAGCTCTTATTTTAGCAAAGGAACCCTTTCCCCTAGTCTAGGGTCCCATATTGGATCAAGTTGCTTGCCTACCTCAGCCCAGGATTGCTTATTCTGAGCGAGGTGATGCCCTATTGTTACCCTAGGGTTCTTTTTCTTGGTGAGGGGACTCTACTCTGTTATCCCAAGTGCTCTTATTCTGGTGAGAAGAACCTTACCTCTATAATTTGGGAAGGAATGGGATATGGACACCACCGGTCACCACCAGAGACTAGGATGGGATGGATGGATGGTTTTTGGGGGGATGTGCTAGGGAAATAAGTCTTGCTATTTGTTCTCCTGGATACCCCCACCTCCAACTTATGCAGATTCTTGCTGCTTCCTCCTGAGCCGAGATTGTCCAATTGCTAAAATGTAAATGCTTGGTTTATTGGGGGGATGGGAGTTTCAATTATGCCCTCCTCTCTCCCTTCTACCTGGATTATTTAAAAAGCCATGTGTGGAAACCCACTATTTAATAAAAGTAATAGAATCAAAAGCGACTGCCATTTGTAGATGTGACGCACTTGTGGATCCTCTATGCAGAGCCGAGAGAGGTGGACTGGAACCTCCCTTTGCCCTTGCTACACTTCAGTTTTACATTGCCCCTCTAAAGGACTTTTAATGGGTTCATTTAAGCTGGACCACAAAGAAAAACTTAATTCCCCCCCCATATGTAATGCCCAGTACGTGCAGAAGGGCTCTTTTGGAGACATTGTAGGAACTGAAGATATTTAGGACACATCCCCAAAGATGGCCAGCTTAGAAGCAGGAAAAGTTTTCCCCCTAGCTCCAGGTGCAGGAAGAAGTCTCCTGTTTGAGAAGAAAAGCCTTTTCAGGGCATTGGTGAGGGCATGGCCAGGCTGGGGTTGAACACTGAATGGAATCTTCCTAGCTCTTGTTTTCTAGTAAAATCCAGAGTGTAGTCACCCATCTTCCCTTTAAATACTCATCTGTCCTTCGGCTCCGGATTTACCTGTCCGGCCCTATTCCATCTTGGTTTCACTTGGCCTAGCTTCAGCTGTCTCCTCTGGTCCTGCTTTCAGATGCCTACCCCTTTTCCATCCTCAATGATGACTCATTTGTCCTCCCTTCTGTTTCAGCTTTCCTTCACACTTTCGCTTGTTTATCCTCACCTGCTCTGCTTTTATCTACCAACTAAATTGACCCTCACCTACTCCGCCCCTCAAAAGTCTTTTGTCCTCTAAGAAGCCTGTGGGCTCCCCAAGCGCGGGACCCTTGTGGGAGGGCGGGGAAAAGAAACTTCAGTCCAACCAGAAAGGACTTGGGAATTTCTGATGCGGAAAGGGCGGTACGTTCAGAAGAAGGTGCCAATAAAGACCCGAGATAGAAGAGGGCTAGCTGGGCCAATGAGCCCAGGAGGCACGATGGGCGGGACGTGGCAAGCGCGGTCGATGAAGCGGGCGAACTGCAGGACCAGGGTGGGTCTAGTGACAAGGAAGGGCCAATGAGGCTCTAAAGACGACGGAGACCAAGTCCCCGGTTTCCCGGTCCGGTGGAATTTGGAAGTCCCAAGGCCACAGCTAGAGGTTCGGATTTTAGGAGCAGACGAGGAAAGCCACCACCGTGGGCAGCCCGGCTCTCGCCTCACCCCGCAGGCCCGGAAGCGGAAGTGACGGACACGGAAGTGGCCTACTGTTGCCGAGGGGACGGGCCGGGCAGATGCCAACATGGCAGCGGTCGGGGCTGGCGGTTCCACCGCGGCAGCCGGGCCAGGGGCGGTCTCCGTGGGGGCGTTGGAGCCTGGGACCGCGAGTGCGGGTGAGACAGGCTGTGGGCAAGCAGTTGGCAGCGGGGTGGGGGTCGTGATCGTTGGGAGTCGGAGTTGTTCCTCACTGAAGTGAGAGGGAGCATCCCGTGTGGACCGCTGTTTGTGTCTGTGTGTGTGTGTGTGTGTGTGTGTGTGTGTGTATGTGTGTAGAAGGGGAGGGAGGACGGAACGGACCATTATGAGTGTGTTGGGGGGCGGGGAAGAGACCATTCTGAGGAGATTGGGGAAGTCCTTCCGCATATGGAGAGTAGAGAGTATCGTGAGTGTGGAGTATTTCCATTTGGGGAGGCCAAGACCACCGAGACCACTCTGTGTGTGTGGGGTCCTTCTTTATGGAAGGGATAGACTTCTGAGGGCGTGGGAGTTCTTGCTTATAGAAGGGAGAGGCTTTAATGAGGGTGGTGGTTCCTTCCTTATAAAGGGACAAGGTTTATTATGAGTTGGGGTGGGGCAGGTCCTTCCTTACATGACTAGAGAGGGTCCATTTTGAGAATGAGTGTCCTTAATTATATAGAAAGGAGACCGTTCTTGGAAGTCCCTAATGGAGGTAGAGTTCAGTTCATTGTATGTTGGGGTGGGAGGGCCTGTCTTTATATGTTAGAGAAAGAACTTCTCAAGGTGCCAGGTCCTTTCTTAGAGTTCATTGTGAGTGTGGGTAGAACAAGGAATAATTCCTTGGCTGGAGAGGAGTTGGTGTGTGGTGATGGGAGAATAGACCATGTGGAGTACAGGGACCGAGGGAACCAGATCATTTTTGGTGGGGTAATCATTCATGATATAGGATTCAATCCCTGGGACAATGGGGGGATCATTTTTTATATTTGTTGGACCATTCTGGATCAGTAGGAATCAGTTGTCATAGGAGAGAGGAGTTGGAGAGACCATTCTTGAGTGCAGGGAAGATCATTCCATATGGGATATAGGTCATTCTGAGTGTGAGGGAATCAAATAATTTCTTAGATAGGAGAAAGACCATTCTTTAGGGAGTGGACATACCTTATAGAGTGGTCTCATTTCCTATATTGGCATATTGTTCTTTACATGTAACAGTCCCTCGTTAAATAGGAACATTATCTCAATTCTGTTTGCTCATGCATAAAATAGGAGTACTCATAGTTCTTTTGGAGATCAAAGTGATATGAGAGTCTGTTGGAGTAATTCATATAAATCCCTTAGCCCAGTGATAGGCACACAGTAAGCAATCAATAAATGTTGAGAATGTAGTTGTTGGAAGAATTGCTTCTCACCTGGGGAGAAAGAGAGTTGCGTGGCCAGGGCCTGCCCCAGCCATTTCCTAACACCTTGGCAAGGATTCCAGGTATAGGCTGGACAGGGTAGGGCCTTGTTCTGCTTTCTGGCTCTTCGCTCCTGAGACTGAGAGGGTGGAAGAAGGTTGGGGTCAGACCCTTATTGGGTCAGGGCCTCTAGGCAGAAGGAAGAAGTGTTGGTGGCTAGGAGGATCCTGCTTGAGAAAGGAGAAGGGGTTAGTGGGGGTATGGCAATGCCCCAGCAGCTTCTCACTACCTCGTTTCCCTTTGTTCCTTCTATTCCCCACAGCTCACCGGCGCTTCAAGTACATATCTCTAGCTGTGCTGGTGGTCCAGAATGCTTCCCTCATCCTCAGCATCCGATACGCCCGTACACTGCCCGGGGACCGCTTCTTTGCCACCACTGCTGTGGTCATGGCTGAAGTGCTCAAAGGTCTCACCTGCCTGCTGCTGCTCTTCGCACAGAAGAGGGGTATGAGCCAGGGAGGGCACTGCACCGCGAGCACTGGGTGGGACTTCACATGTATGTGTGTGTGTTCACAGGGAAGGTTTGCTGCTGGAATATCTCCATGTCCGAGAACTCACCTGGGGAGTATGTCAGTGCTGCTAAGCTTCCTCCTCCCTGCAGCTATAAGTAGCTGTGCCCACACCACTGTAGCCCCTACACCTGGGAGCTGTCCTCTGTGGACCGTAGGAGAGAAATTTTCTGTACGCAAAAAGTAGCAGGGGACTCCTACGTGTTGACTTATTTATTTAGCTTTAACTTCATATGATGGAGAATTCCAAAGATACAGAAAATCAGATAGAAAAATAAAATAGTAAAATATCCAGATACCCTCTAGAGTCAGCATTTAGCAACTCCTGGCCACTCTGCTGTTAAACAGTGTTAGTGATTATCCACTCACTGCCAATTTGTATGTCTACCTACATCCTTCTCTCTCCCCTTATTATTACTGTTATTATTATTATTTGTTTTTTAATTTTTAATTTTGAAGATGTAGGGTACAGTTCGGGGTTAGGTATGCATGTGTTCATTATGCAGGTACCCTTGTTGATGAGGTATTCCCTTATTATTTTGAAGTAAATCCCACCTTATTATCTTGAATAAATGTTTTGATGCTTTGTTTTGTTTTGTTTGAGGTGGAGTCACACTCCGTCGCCCAGGCTGGAGTGCAGTGGCACGCTCATGGCCACCCCAGCGTCGACCTACTGGGCTCTGGCGATCCTTCCACCTCAGCCTTCCAAGTAGCCGGAACTACAGGCGCACGCTACCACGCCCAGCTAATTTTTTGGTTTATTGTAGAGACAAGGTCCTACCATGTTGCCCAGACTGGTCTCGAACCCGTGGAGTCAGGCAGTCCACTCGCCTCGGCCTCCCAAAGTGCTGGGATTATGGGCTAAACCACCAAACCTGGCCTTAATGCTTTTTTTACAAAATAAGTACAGTACCTAAAAATCCTACATGAAAAAATTAACAATAATTCAAAAAATAATAATATAGTCAAATTCCCAGTCAGTGTGTACATTTATTAAGATTTCTTAAATGTCATTAAAGTTTTTAAGTGTGTATGTGGTCAGTGTTTTGTAATCGATGTCTTCTAAATATGTTGAAGAAAGCAGGTCATTTGCCTTGTAGACATTCAGTAGTCTGGATTTTGCTGACTGCCTCCCTGTGGTATCATTTAACATTCTCTGTCCTCTGCATTTCCTGTCAGTTGGGAGTTGGGGGTTTATCTACTAATTTAAACATCTCACTGAAGGCCTTTTCCTTTGAAGTGGTCATTTGTGGCCGGACTCAGTGGCTCAGCCTGTAATCCCAGCACTTTAGGAGGCCAAGGCGAGTGGATTGCCTGAGCCCACGGGTTTGAGACCAACCTGGGCAACTTGGCGACATCTCGCTTCTACAATAAATCAAAAATTATCCAGGCGTTGTAGCACACACCTGTAGTTCCGGCTACTTGGAAGGCTGAGGCAGGAAGATTGCCGGAGCCCAGCAGGTCAAGGCTGTGGTGGCCAGGAGCGTGCCACTGCACTCCAGTCTGGGCAACAGAGTGAGACTCCAACTCAAAAAAAAGAAAAAGAAATGTTGATTTGTTTCCCTACAAAGGACTTGTATATGCAATGAATTATATGCCTCTTCCCTAGGTGCATGTGTTGAAGTAAACATCTTTTCTTTTCTTTTTTTGAGTTGGAGTCTCTGTCGCCTAGGCTGGAGTGCAGTAGCACACTCACAGCCACCCCGGCATCGATCTGCTGGATTCCAGCAATCCTTTCACCTCAATCTTCCAAGTAACTGGTACTACAGGCATATGCTACCATGCCCGGCTAATTTTTAATTTATTGTAGAGAAGAGGTCTCACCAAGTTTCCCGGGCAGGTCTCGAACCCCTGGGCTCAGGCAATCCTCTTGCCTCTGCCTCCCCAAGTGCTGGGATTACAGGCATGAGCCACCGTGCCCAGCGAAGAAAACGTCTTTTACCCTTGGTAACTCCAGGTGCCTGGGAGGCAGCAGTTTAGGTTGACTCTATAGACAGTTTCGATGTGAGCACTGTGCCTCAGGCCCTGGGCTATGGAGGTGGACTTGTGAGCAATGCAGACAGACTTGTGAGCAATGCAGACAGACTTGTGAGCAATGCAGACATGCATCTTGTCCTCATAGGGCTGATGTTTAAAATGAGTAACATAACAGCTACAGATTTCATCACAGGCCTTCAAACCTCAGCCACAATTTCAAACGCTTCTCCCCCCCCCACCCCGATTGTTTCTCCCCTGAATTAGTTGGTGGTGAAACCTGGCCTGACCTGATGTAGGGCCCTCTGTATATTTGTTTTTCTCATGTAGTGTGAATATTCCCACAATTCACCACTGAAATAGGAATGGTACCTGGTTATGTGTAGCTCCTTTTATGTAGGGTTTGGTATATAATCTATGGTATATATACCATGTTACCTTACCCTGAAAATTATGGGGTAGACACTAGTAATGACTCCTGAGATTAGTACCATGAAGGGCAAGGACAGGGTTTTGTGAATGAGCAGAAGTAGGTGTTCCTGGGATAACCCTGTGCAGTGGTGGTGGAGGTTTTTTCCCCTGAGGAGTGGCACTCAGCTATAACTTAAAAGGTGAACTGCAGGCCAGATGTGGTGGCTCATGCCTATAATCCCAACACTTTGGGAGGCCGAGGCAGGAGGATTGCTTGAGCTCAGGCATTCGAGATGAGCCTAGGCAACATAGCAAGACCTCATCTCTACAAAAAGTTTTGTAAAAAAAATGTCCAGACATGGTGGCACATGCTTGTAGTCCCGGCTACTTGGGAAGCTGAGATGGAAGGATCACCTGAGCCCAGGAAGTTGAGGCTACAGTGAGCCTTGATCTTGCCACTGTACTGTAGCCTGGGAGACAGAGTGAGACCTCAACTCAAAAAAAAAGATGAACTGCAAAACAGTACGAAGAGCTTTGCAGAGGCTTTATTACATAGGAAACGATTCTCATTTATATGTCATAGCAGGTCCCAACTGGACTTCTGCTTAATGGTCAAGCCTGCATTCATCCATGTGGCAAGGGCAACTCCCTGGTGTATCTAGAGCTGACAGAAAGATGCAGCTGAGGATGCAGCTGAGAGGGAGTTGGCCTCTGCCCTCAGATGCCACATGGGCCAGTAAGAAGCTAGGATAAGTTTTTAAAGTGGTCTAAATTTCCCCCCTCTGTGAGAGACAGCTTTCTAACCCCTCCTAAGACTTCCACTTCATAAGCTTCTAGTTAATGATGATTATTCCATTGTACAAACATGCATTGAGTACTTACCCTGAATGGGCCTCTATGCTAGGAGGGTAGGCCCTAAGATAAGGGAAATGTAGTCTGTGATTAGCAGACACAGTGTTATGGGTGATTGTTTTGCTGCCATTAAACCGAGAATCAGAAAGGCCTACTGGATACATGGTTGTATTCTAGGGCAGGGGTCCCCAACCCCTAGGTCACGGACTGGTAGCAGTCCATGGCCTGTTAGGAACTGGGCCGCACAGCAGGAGATAAGTAACCAGGGAGCTAGTGAAGCTTCATCTGTATTTATAGCCACTCCCCATCACTTGCATTACTGCCTGAGCTCCACCTCCTGCCATCATTAGATTTTCATAGGAGAATTAGATTCTCATAGGAGCACAAACCCTATTGTGAACTGCACATGTGAGGAATCTAGGTTGTGTGCTCCATATGAGAATCTAATGCCTGATAATCTGAGGTGGAGATACTAGCAGTGATACAAGGACATGGGAGCAACTGCAAATACAGATTAACATTGGCAGTGAGATTTGACTGTACAGAGACCATAATAAATTAATTGCTTGCAGACTCATATCAAAACCTTATCAGTGAGTGGCAAGTATACTTCAATTGTACAGCTGTATCTGGTGGCATACCTTAAGTCAGAACCTGACACTTACTTTAGTCCACACATGGCCCACCCATTATTTTATTTTATTTTTATTTTTATTTTTTTGAGTTGGAGTCTCACCCTGTCACCCAGACTGTAGTGCAGTAACACGCTCCTGGCCACCACAGCCTCAACCTGCTGGTTTCCGGTGATCCTTCCGCCTCAGCCTTCCAAGTAGCCGGAACTATAGGCGTGTACTACCACGCCCGGCTAATTTTTGACTTATTGTAGAGACGAGGTCTCACCAAGTTGCCTGGGTGGGTCTTGAACTCCTGGGCTCAGACAATCCACTCACCTCAGCCTCCCAAAGTGCTGAGATTACAGGCTGAGCCACCAAGCCCGGCCCCAGTATGTTATTAACTACTTCCGTCCATGCCTCTTTTTTATGGTGAGTTGCATAATTATTTCCTGATATATTACCATGTAATAGTAATAGAAATAAAGTGCGCAATAAATGTTATGTGGTTGAATCATCCTGAAACTATTCCTGATCCTTGGAAAAGTTGTATTCCTCGAAACCAGTCTTTGATGTTAAAAAGGTTGAGGACCACTGCTCTAGGGAAAACATAGCACAGACTTAGTTCCAGTCCCAGGGGGGCAAGAGTGGGCTAGGTGGGGGGAGACAAAGGAGCCAGACCTAGTTCCAGCCTTCAGGGGGATTCCCCATTTTTGGCTGTCAGTGCTAAAAAGGGCTGTCCTCCCACCTAGGTAACGTGAAACACCTGGTCCTTTTCCTCCACGAGGCTGTCCTGGTGCAATATGTGGACACGCTCAAGCTTGCTGTGCCCTCTCTCATCTACACCTTGCAGAATAACCTCCAGTATGTTGCCATCTCCAACCTGCCTGCTGCCACTTTCCAGGTGAGCTCCAAGCCCAGCATGGCCCCAGAGGAACTGGCTGACTTGGGGGATAGAGTATAGAGTTGGGGGCGGAGGCGGCAGAGAGCAGGGACTATTACATTCAGAATGTCTCTGGAACTTCCTCAACCTTGGTTTCCTCATCTGTGAGAATTGGGGTTGGAGCTAGTAACACCTGTTCATTGTAGTGCTAGGATAACTGAAAGAATACCTGTAAAGAGCCTTTGGTTGGCCTTAGATAAGCTAGCTATAGGCTATTCCTGGGCAGCCTTGTGAAGTAGTTAAAGATCCCAGGCTGCCTGGGTTCAGATCTCAGCTCTGCTACTTTCTAGTTATGTAATTTTGGGGCAAGTCATCTAACCTTTCTGTGCCTTAGTTTTCTCATCTTTAAATTGGGGGTTACAGTGGTACCCACTTCAGTATGGTGGTGTGAGGATTAAATGCACTAATTCACATAAAGTGCCTACCACCAGCACTCTGTAAATGTTTGCAAACATTATTGTTGTGGCTATTGATACATGTGTATCCAGACCTCCCCTATGACAAAAATGACCTACTTCTAGGCATTTTACATACATCAGCCATATTTTATAGATGATGATACCAGGGCTCAGACAGGATGAGTGTTTTGTCCCTGGTCACACAGCCAGAAAATAGGATTGGGATGTGGACTTCTGGCACAGCCATCCTCCTGTGCACTTTCTGGGAGGGACTTCAGAACTGTTGAGCCACAACTCAGCCAGTGGCCAGTGGCTGGCTACTTTTGCTGCTTTTATTGTCATCTACCCCACCCTATCCCTCCATTGTGCCTGAGAACCCATAGCAGGTACTATTTCCCTCGTGTACCTGTTGGGGGTCGGGGGCAACCTTCAGTGCCTTCTGCATGCCACTCGCAGGTGACGTACCAGCTGAAGATCCTGACCACAGCACTGTTCTCCGTGCTCATGCTGAACCGCAGCCTTTCCCGGCTGCAGTGGGCCTCCCTGCTGCTCCTCTTCACTGGCGTCGCCATTGTCCAGGCACAGCAAGCTGGTGGGGGAGGCCCACGGCCACTGGATCAGAATCCTGGGGCGGGCCTGGCAGCTGTTGTGGCCTCCTGTCTCTCCTCTGGCTTCGCAGGTGTCTACTTTGAGAAGATCCTCAAAGGCAGCTCAGGCTCTGTGTGGCTGCGCAACCTGCAGCTGGGCCTCTTTGGCACAGCGCTAGGCCTGGTGGGGCTCTGGTGGGCTGAGGGCACCGCCGTGGCCCGCCGTGGCTTCTTTTTTGGGTACACGCCTGCCGTCTGGGGTGTGGTGCTCAACCAGGCCTTTGGTGGGCTACTGGTGGCTGTTGTTGTCAAGTATGCTGACAACATCCTCAAGGGCTTTGCCACCTCCCTGTCCATTGTACTGTCCACTGCTGCCTCCATTCGCCTCTTTGGCTTCCATGTGGACCCATTATTTGCCCTTGGCGCTGGGCTCGTCATTGGTGCCGTCTACCTCTACAGCCTTCCCCGAGGTGCAGCCAAAGCCATAGCTTCCACCTCTGCCTCCACCTCTGGGCCCTGCATTCACCAGCAGCCTCCGGGGCAGCCACCACCATCGCAGCTGTCTTCCCACCGTGGCGACCTCATCACGGAGCCCTTTCTGCCAAAGTCAGTGCTGGTGAAGTGAGGGCTGGCGGCGGTGGGGGGAGACAGGGAGGAGGGAGACTGGAGTGGAGGGTGTTGGGCATCTGCAGGACCTAAGTCACCGCCCGCCAGGGCCTGGCTCCTCCAGGGTTGGAAGACAGTCTTCTAGGTTATAGAAACTTCTAGAGGGGTGTGGGACTAGGACTGGGTGGCACACAAGCCCTTCCTGGTAGGTTGACCAGCCCTCTCCCCTGGAGGGGGTTTTTAGAGCTGCCTCCTTTGCCCCAGTCTAACCTCTCTGGGGTCAGGGTTGGGGGTATTGTCATTCAAGGCCTTTTTTTGTCTGCACCCTCCCCCTCCTCCCACTGTCTCCTGTATCATGCCTGGGAGAGTCCCTCCCAGCAGTCCCTCCACCTTTGAAAGGACAAACTGGACAAAAATCCTGCAGCTCTTCTGTAATGATAAATGCCTACCTGTGGGGTTCAGCTTCCTATAGTTTGAGGCCTTCTCTCCTCCCTCACCACCACGCTGGATCATGTTAGCAGCCCCGGTCTTTGTGTGGCCTTGGGGCAGCTTCTCTGACACCGAGACCTTTGAAGATGGGCCTCTTGTGAATGCCCAGGGAGAAAGGGGCAAAGCTGAGATTTTTGCATCAGCTGGTCCAGGGGAATGTACAGTAGGGGCCATTTATTTTTTTAGTGGATTTGGGATTCGTGGTGTAATCAGATCATTAATGATCAAGGATGCGGGAAGAGTGGGGAGGGGAGGTCCTTAAAGTGGCTGAATCTCATTAAACTTAAGACACTGTCAGTTGCTGGATGCAGGGTTATTTTCTGAGACATCCAGAGAGGACAAATAAAGCTGCCAATTACACTCTTGATACCCAATTGGCTGTGTGAAGCCTCCTTTTTGGGGAGAGTGTCTTAGAATTGATGAAATGTAGAACCTGCCCCCTGCGCTCCCCAAAGCTTATTAACCCCTTAACTGTATCCCGGGGCGGGGTGTGTGTGTGTGTGCATGGAAGATGCCTGGGCTGTCTTTGCTATATGTAAATAGGGCCATTGGATCTTTATTTTTGATTAGTTTTGATTTTTTGGTTTGTTTTCTAAGGAACTGTAATGAACAAATGTCAGGATACCCAATGCCAAATAAAGATGTTGTATTTATTTAGTCCACGTGTAGCTTTCTGACCCAGGGGATCTGCTGTCACCATGTAGACACTGTTACTAACCACAGGACTACCAGCCTCACTACTGCTGCCCCTGCTTGCTCAGGAAGCCCATCTGCCAGCCCACCCCAGCTTTCTGTTTTTCTTTCCTCCCCATTCCCACCACAGGTTGCTCACCAAGGTGAAGGGTTCGTAGCTGCTGGGATTGAAGACGTTGGCCTGGCCTCATTCTCCCTTCTTGCCCTGGCCCAGCTGGGACCAAACTCTGATCAGTATTAGGGGCAGGGCGAGGTAGACACTGAATTCCCTGTCCTTACCACCGCAGCCCCTGCTACCCCCACACTATTTCTTAGACAAGTTTTTACAAATAAAATGTGTTTTGCATGTTGCAGCTTGGGTTGGGAAGCCTCGAAAGAGCAAGAAAAGGAAGCACTCAGGCCTCATGGTCATGATCACAGAAAAGTTTTTATTAAAAACCCCAGGGCTGGGGAGGGCGAAGCTTCAGCCCTGTTGCTTGATTTGAAGGTTCAGTCCTGCTGCTTGGTTCGGGATGCCTCGGCATTGGCCCGGAGTACAGCCCCTGGGGATGGGTATGGACGTTGCTGGAAAAGGGGCCCAGCTGCTGTGGTGTCAGCACCAGTCTTAGCCTCGTTCCGCTTGGGGAGTCCTGTTGACCATGTGCCCCTGAAGGTGACAGACAGTCAGGGGATGGGAATGGGGGATGTGGCAGGCATCACCCACCAGCCTCATTAAGGAATGGGGGAAGGAGACGGTGAGGAAGAGAGGAAATGCAATAAGTCATGGGAAAAAGGACTCATGAGGGATTATCACTTACCGGGGCGCGTCTGAGTATGAGCTGGGGTCCATGGGGTCTAACTCTTCGTCCTTTCGACTTGCCACTGTAAAGGTAAGTGGCAAGGTGAGGTCTTCAACTGAGGCACAAAAAGCTCCTGATCACCAAACCCCACATTCCAAGAAGAAATGGATCGTGTGACTGCCATGGACTGCGGCATCCTCCTCCCAGGCCCCCACCTGAGGGAGGGCCTCCTTACATACACCCTGGCCCATCACTTGCCTCACCTGAGTCCCAGCCTGTTCAGCTTACCCTTCTTGTTTTTGGGGTAGGGAGCCAGTTCCTCACGGCGATGGTGGCGCCGTTCTTTGCTTTCTTCCCGTTCTGCCTTGTCATATCCACGCTCCCGATCTCGTTCCCTGTCCCTCTCTCTCTCTCTCTCCACCTTGTCATAGCCACGCTCCCGATCTCTGTCAGACTTGTCGTGGCTCCGGTCTGACTTGTCATGGCTCCGCTCTGACTTGTCGTGGCCCCGGTCTGGCTTGTCGTGGCCCCGGTCTGGCTTCTCGTGGCCCCGATCCAACTTCTCCTCAGCATCTGGGGACATGAGTCTTGAAGTGACCTTCTTCTCCCACCCCAGGACCCAGCAGCCCCTGCCTTCAACAGCCTCCCTTGTCTGGGGCTATCTAGTCTCACCTGCTTCTTTCTGATTTTCTATAATTTACTTAACTCCTTGTTGAGAACTCTGGAAATACTCAAGACACCCTTGCATCTGCTAACTCACCTGCATTACTGCTCCTGAGCTTCTTGGCAGATTTGGTAACGACGGAGTTGGGGTCATGTGGGGAGAGCCAGGATACAAGGTCTGTGTCCACATTCCAGTAGTAAGGGAGCCCACTGTGGGGCAGTGGGAGGGAAGGAGTGTGTCAGCACAGATGCCCTCTTCTTGTATCCTCAACTCATCTCCCCAATCACTGCCCATACCTACCCCATGTCAGGACCCCACAGGAAGGATCCCCAGATCTCTGCCTGTTTCCCATATACACTCCACAGCCAGGGTCAGCACAGAAAGGGTGAAACAGAAGTCAGCTCCCCTACTCCACCAGGTTCCCAGACTCACCAGGAAGGGTCGAACACCTTGTACCAGCTTGGCGGCAGGCCCTCCAACCGGGTGGCCTCGTAGTCCACAGGATCATCATCATAATCTTCAGCAATGATCTCTTCCTCTGGTTCTGGTAGGATAGGGGTGAGGGAGGAGGAAAGCAGTTAAGGACCAGGGAAGTTTTCATCCTACAGGGCCTGGAGAGACACACACATTCATACAAACTACACATGGAAGACGTGTGTGTGTGTGTGTGTGTGTGTGTGTGTGTGTGTGTGTGTGTGTGTGTGTGTATCAAGTATCTCTTGCATTCTATATCCAATTATCTGTATTAGGGAATTTATGAAAAATAATTTACCTAAATCTGTTCAGTTTTGGGTCCAGACGATGCATTACACTGTTATCCAAGCCTATCTAGTTTAAAAGTTGACAGGGATTTCATCAAAAAATTTATCCATCTCTTTTCACTTCCTGAGTTCAGATAGCATGTAACACTGTGTTATCCCATCTATTTAGATAAAATGAATTTGAATGACAAAGGATTTACTTGAAAATATGTCCAATCAATTTAGCTTCCAAGCTTGGTGATTACAGGATTTGAGTCCTGTAAATTGAGTCTCAAGAGTTTAGATGGCAAGGGATTTATGCAGATATTACTCTGAATCCATTTAGTTGGTGAGGCCTGACACATAGTAAGTCAGCAACAGATATATCAGTATCAGGAGATTTTTCACCAAACTGATGCTTTAAAAAAAAATCAGTAGAATAAAAAAGATGTCTATTATCAGCTCAGTGCCTAGCCCTCAGCCTACAACAGAGTTCAGATATGAATATAATTACCAATGAAATGTATATGCCAGCAACAGCATAGTGCCTGTCACACAGTAGGCCAAAACAAACGTCAGCTACAATCAGTATTGCTAATAAGATACACACCATCAGCACAGGGCCTGGTACTCAGTTAGGATTTAAAAAGGAAGTGATCATTATCAGTACTATTAACTACAAAGTCTATGCCTGGCATAAAGTAAGCGTGTAATATGTTAGTTATCAATAAGGGAGACAAGAAGATGCATTTTTCAGTGTCTGGCACTGTCGCCCCATATAGATACCAGCTTTTAGTATTATTATTATTATTATTTTGAGTTGGAGTCTCACTCTGTTGCCCAGACTGGAGTGCAGTGGCCACTCCCGGCCACCGCAGCCTC